CCAGGTTGGGGAGGCGATGCTGAAAGTGAAGGGTGAGGTCATGCAGTGGGTGGTGCAGGCCCTCAGGGCAAGCAGCAAACTCCCAGCTCTGGAGTCGGGACAGTAAGCAGAAGGCGGCTGTGGGGACCAGGCCGGCTCGACCTAGAGGGAGGTGGGATGTGCCAGTGGTCTCCAAGGCCTTTCTGTTCTGTCCCTTAGCCCCAAGGAAAGCGAAAGAGACGTGGTCCTGGCGCCCCCAAGCTTTCTGAGTAGGTAGGCACGGCGTCCCAGGTAAGACTAGGGAGGGACAGTATGCCCCAAAAGGAAGCTTGTAGCCCCTGGACCCTGGACCTTGCTCAAGGCCTGGGAGTGAAAGCTGACTTTGGCCAGGGACCAGCATCCAGGCAGAAGGCACAGAGGGTGAGCCAGTGCACTGGTCGGGCAGGCATGGGCTTCAGGCTGCCAACTGTGTCTGAGACTTGCTTTTCCTCCCTTCTGGAAATCCAGTACCACAGGTTGTAGAGTGGAGAACCAGGGCACAGAAGCACCAGAGAGGGCCGGGGATTTGGCTCAATGGTTCTGCCGCCTGCCTCACAAGCGCAAGGACCCGAGTTCGATCCCCGGTACAAAAAAAAAAGAAGCACCAGGGAAAGGCGAGTTCAGCCTCCCGCTGCAGTCTTCCAAGGCTGCGCAGACTGGAGACTAATCCCTGCCGCTCTGATGGCTCCCTCCCCTCTGCTGGGACGGCCCGCTCACGGAATTGTGCTACTTCTGTCCCCAGCCAGTGCCCAGCACCACAGACAACCGCAGAAGGCGGAAATACAGTTTCTGGCCGGTTTTTATTTTCAAGCATCCACTGGCTTTTCTACCTTGCCGGGAGCAGCACACGTGGACTCCTCTCCGCCGCAGGAGGCAGATTTCAGGACCGCAGCTCGCCCGGATACACACAGGCCTCCAAGGCTGTGGCTCGCACCGTCTGTCGCAGAGGCCTGGCAGGGGCACAGCAGGCCTTAGAGACGGTGCCCGTGGGCTGAGCCCCGGCGGGTGCTTCCGCGCCGACCTCACTGCCGGCCCTGCCCCTTCTCGGTCACGCGGTCACCATCTCCTCTCCGGGGTCCAGGGACAATCTGACCAGTCACTGAGGGCTCCAACGGGGCAGGATTTTAGGACCCCCAGGTCTGAAACCATTTTACCTTGACTTAAGGAGCGCCCTCCTCGAGGCCCCAGAAACCACGACAGGGCTAGGGTTTGGGGCAGGAGGCGTCGGGGAGAGGAAGTGTCCTGTTCTCGCAGTGGTGGACCCACTCCCCCCGTGGGTGCCTGAGCCTCCTGCACGGCGTCCACAGCAGCCTCACCGCCCTTATGGAGGTCGCCGGCTCAGGTTCTTGGCTGCTCCCCTCGCCTTCCTGGCCTCCTCATTGGCTGCAGAGGTGGTGTCTCTGGCCAGCACACCAGACATACACTTCCTTGGTCACACACTGGAGTGCACAGCCGAGGCACCCTGGAATCTGCCCCTGTGAAGCCTTCCCAAGGCTACAAGGACAGGGCAGGTGACAGTGAGGGGGTGAGGAGGGGAGCCAGGGCCTCTGTTCCTCACCAGACCTCTTCCCACAAGGACGTTACTGACAGCTGAGAGCAGACCCCAGGGACTTCCCAGCTGCGCCTCGGAGATGACCAGGACCCAAGCCCTGGGTGGTGAAGGAGCAGATGTTGGGAAATGGGGACGAAGACAGAGAGCAGGGGCAGGTGAAGACAGGCCTACCTGGGCTGGTTCCGGGACATGCAGGATCTGCTGGCCAGCCAGAGGCAACCAGGCAGCAGATGTAACAGCGGCTCTGCCCAGCAAAGACGCTATTTACTCACCAGGCACAGGACCCACAGTACCATGCCTGCTTTGGGGAGTCGTTGTCCCCAGAGGGAGACAGCTGCAGAACAGAAGGGGAGGTGGACAAAGGAAGGCGGGGGTGGGGGGAGCAGGGCCAGGAGAGATGCTGTGGTGGGCTGGGCCACCCAGGGGCAGGGGGCTGGGGTATGCAGTGGCCAGAGGTCACAGAGGCCGGGGCACCTAAGGCCTATGCCCTGCTAAGACGCGCACTGTACAAGGCAGAAGAGAGGATGGTACCGCGTGTGGAGACAGGCCAACTACAGAACAGGGCCAGCGCTCCAGGGCCCACATCAGAGGACTCGCTCCACTCACTGCGGACAGCGCTGTGATGTAGGAGGGTCCCCCACACTGGGACAGGGCCACACGCAGGCGCCTGTACGGAGCAGCATCGCCCCTCTCAACAGCACTGTGGCCACCAGGGAGAGAGGGTGGCAGCAGGGTGGGGCAGCAGGTGGAGTCAGCCAGGATTTTGTGGGTTCCCAGGGCTCCCAAAGCCGCCTCGCCCTCGCTGGCAATGGTGGTGTGACCATGACCATTGTACGGAGAGGGAGGGACACACATTACTGCCGCTGTGTATCAGGGTGCCGGCCAGAGGCACCGAGTAACATGCCTGCTGCAAGTGGGAGATCTGTACCAACCCCTCCAAAGGACGGCTCCAAACGGCAGGGTGGCAGGGCAGAAAGCAGAGACCCGAAACCCAAAACCCCATGTAGGTCACCCAGGCACTTTCTGGAATCTCACTTGTCTGTTTAATCAAAGTCAGGTCACCACGGACCTCTACTTCCGGGGATCCTGACATCCGGGAACTGTGGTGGAGTGCCTCGCACTTTCACAGTGAGAATTCTGTCCCTTTCTCTGCCTCTAGGCTCCTCCCACTCAGGGCTCAGGCCTACCCAGTCTACGTGAGGATCCCCTCCCGGACACACTCCGCCCTCCAAACCTGCTCTCACTGCATCTTCACAGTGCCTCACACCAGGTTTCCTTGTAGCTCCCAGGAGCAAGAGGGTGGTAACTCAGCAGCGGCACTGAAAAGCTCAGAAGCACAGGCTGCCAGGTGGAGTCCTGCCCCACACCCACCTCTGCCCCTGCAGTCAATCACAGCAGCCAGAGGAGCTCTGAGAAAAAGCCAGACGGGCAGGACCCTCTGGACGGATCCCTCCGAGGCTTCCACTTGGCACAAAAATTCAAATCTCATGGCCTGGAAAGTCCTGTGAGCTGGTGGAGTCCCTGTCACTCGAGGCCTGCAGTCGGCCAGCACAGTTCTATCACCTGCTGTCCTCACCAAGGCAACAAGCCCCAGATCCTCGCTGGCTGTTCTGGAGTCACCTCCTCCAGGCCTGTCGGCCAGCTCCCTGGAACCTGAGTTTGTTCCGGGTCTCCTCCCTGCGACCTGACCTCCATGAGGCTTGGACTTACTGCCACCTCCACGGGGCCTCGTGCAGGGCTGGTACACAGTGGGTGCTCACGTGTCCACAGCCTCAGGAAGTGGGGTGTTTAAGGGAGCCTCTGGGGGCTCCCAAACCTTCACCTCGCTCTACCTGGCTCGTAAGTGACCCAGGATGAACACTCGATGAAGCAACCAAGGTCTGTGTTCATTCCAGATCCCCAGCAAGCACAGGGGAGGAGGCTCTCCCCTGAGAACCAAAGTGGCTCCTGTCAAACAGATTTCCCAGGCAGCTCTCATTCTTAGCAAAAACATCCTGGACTTTCCTTGCACAAAGAATCGGGACGTGGCTCTGGGATACCTGGCAGGGAATCCTCCGGGATGGTCTCTGTCACATCTGGGTCCACAGTACTGAGCGCATCCCGGAGAGGTGGAGGCACCTGGACCCATGGACCCAGCAAAACCTCTTCCCAACCTTCTCTCCCCACCCCGCTTCCACTCCCACTCACAGAAGAGGTCAAAGGTGAAAGGGAGAACTCGGGAAAGGGTGTTCAACCTTTGGAAAATTTAAATGTGAGTGAAACTGTCTAATTCTGCCTCATCGAAACCCAGCATTTCCTTCTGCAGCCAACCCCCTAGGGACAGGGCATCAATAAAGTCACTCCTGTGGTCCCTAAGTGCTGAAAGGGCCCTCACCCGCCAGCACACACGCTCAACAAGAGGCAGGGAAGATGTCTTTATTAAAGATGCAAGCAAGCACAGGAGTATCATGTGTAGTGCTCAGTAATATCCATATGATACTAAAAATAGAAAAATAGAAAAGAAATTTCACAGAAAGCAGCTTCCCTCCCAGACACACAGAAAAGGTGCTGCCACCACACCACCGCCCAGCGAGTGCATGTCTCTCGACCGTCACCTGCAGTGGCAGCCCGCCCCACCCTGGGGCACATCCGGCCCCATCAGGAAGGGCCAGCGCCTCCCACCTGGCCCGCTCTCCGTTCCTCCCCCAGCCAAACGTGGGCCAAAGAGGAAGGAGGTGGTGGGCAGGCACGGGCGCTGCCCCCAGACATACGAAGGTACGGGTGACAGACAGAGGCGGCCCGCTGCCCACCTGAGTGACAGAAGGCATTCAACTTGCAAAATGCTTCTCAGTGAAAGCTCAGGCACAGGGGGAACAAACTGAACCCTAGAGACCCGGGATTTTAGAAAGGTGCTGTGCTACAAAGCTGCTGCTTGCCACCGCTTCAGGGAACCAAAGGAAAGCCTGAGAGATTCAACTCCAGTGCTGAGTGTCTGGGTGTCCATCTGGCAGCCTCTCCACTGCCCACTTTCAGAGGCTATGGCTGGCAGGTGATCCCCCATCTGCAGTGCAAACTCCCAATGTTCTCTTCGCCGGGCCCCAGAGCGCCCCCCGCCGGAAGTCTTCTGAAGGCTCCGGGAAGGTCACAAGGACTGGACTCCGGCAGAACACACACCAGTTCCACCTCCCCTGCACCCCACCTTAGCCTCTGTGCTCACAGGACCTCAGAACCCAGGGTCAGTGCCACGCGGGGGCCCCTGGGTGACGACACTACCAGAGAGCGGCAGTCGGAGGGCATCTGCCACTGGATGGCGGCTCACTCTTGCTTCCCCTCGGAAATGAACTTTTATTTGGTTTACCGATATCCATTTAGATTTTCAGTGAAAAGCTCTAGAAAACACAGTAAGTAGATAGGGTTGAGACTGGAGCTGCCTGCGGCATGGACTTCGTACTTAGGATGCAGGCCACAGACTGTAATTTTTATAAGGTTTGCCTCAGACACATGGAGACTTCAAACACTAAAGGCGAGACAGCAGCTGCAGTTGGGGACCGGCACACTTCTCCGGATTCTGCAAGGGCTCCTTCCCCCGCGGTTTACACGCTGCTTCCAGGGTGTGTCCAGCAAGGAATAAAGAATGCATACAGGACATTTAGCTAGGAGCGTCTGGGGACCGTGAGCATGCAAGTCCGCCATTCCCGCCATTATAAATAAAAGTCAAACGTGAGGTCGCACTTCCCCATCTTCTGTTTATACACTAAGTCAAACTTCTCATTCATGGAGACGGTGAAGATGTCCTTCCACAGCCCAACTCTCCCTGCAACACAAACCAGAGTGAGCTGTGCTGTGGCCGCCAGCTGTCGGGCCAGCTATGGAGCCAAAGAAGCCCGGACACGGGTCCGAAGAGCCCTGAGACCCTGGCCTGGGGCGGGGTGGCCATCCGCGTCCCAGCTTCAGAAACTGCTGCAATGGCTTCCTGGGAGTGGAACCTGCTTCCCTCCACATCTGGTGGTGAAGTGGCCACGACCACCTTTGGCCACATCCCCAGTGGCAGGAGGCCAGCGGGAGAGGCTTCCCCTCTGGCTCACGACCGACTCCGCAGCACACAGTGGGGGCTCGGACAGCACCACGGAGAAAGCACTCTCAGGGACACGTGTGCTTTGGGATCTCGTGGGGTGGGGGCTCCCTGTGACACCAGGACTCGCCTTGCTCAACAGTGCCACCAAGGTGTCACTTGCCTTCAAGGAATTTGAAAAAGAAAAAAAAAATCATCCCCGGGGCAGAAAACACCACGGCAAATGGAAAAGCGTCAAGAAGACCTCAAACAGCCTGCGTTCAAAAACCTAGGGGCACCGCCTGCCTCGCAAGCACAAGGTCCTGAGTTCAATCCCCGGCCCCCACCAAAAGGATGAGATCAAAAACCATGGGGCAAATTTATAAAGTACGCAGAATACTCAGGCATGATCTGGCTTTTCAAAACAGGGGAAAAATGTGCCCCACAACAAGAACTCCCCGGGTCAGGCTCAGCACCCCGGCCGCTCAGTGGAGGCTGTGCGCCTGAGGCTCAAGTGTAGGCACCAAGCCAGGGTGTCTTAGGAAGCCCTGGTGGGGAAAAAAGAGGCAAAAACGGCACCAGGAACTGGGTGTGGTGGTGCACACCTGTAGTCCCAGCATCTGGGAGGCAGAGACAGGGAGATCACAAGTTTGATCCATCCTGGGCAATGAGGTGGGCTCAAACTAAAAATATAAAAATGGCTGGAATTTTGCCTCAGTGTGAAGGCTCTGGAGTCAACCCCCAGTCCCATTAAAAAAGACAACCACCACCACCAGAGGATGTGGACCTGTTTTCCTACAAAATCCCAGTGGGTCGGGCCAAAGAGTAATGGGGATTCTAGAGTTTGGACTTTTCGGCAGTGGTGAACTAGTCACCCCAGCACTAAGTTTTTACCTATGAGCTTCTTTAGAGTTCTTCCCACTTTGGGGCTGCGTGTGTGGCTCAGGGATAAGGGTGCTTGCCTGGCACACACAGGCCAGGCATTGTACTTCTTGTACTGCCAGCAACAAAAAAGTACATTTTCAAACTTCGAAGTTCCTCAAGCTGAAGTTCCCTCCCTATTTTCTCTTGACTTTCTAACAGCTTAATAAATCTGCTAATGTATCACAAAAAAAAAAAAAAATTAACTCCCCTGTCAGCATCTCGATCTGAGCCACGCACATCTCGAGCACCTGAACCTCTCAGCTCGGTGCCGGTCCTCCCACCCTGGCCGCACCGCGGGGAAGAAACACAGCCCTGCCCGTGCTGAGCTGGGCAGCCCCACAGGACAGGGGCTTCTCTCTAGTAAGGAGAAAGCATCTACCGGCATTGGGGAGGGGGAGACAGGAAACTGTTCTTGCCACTCTCTAATGATGCCAAAGGGACAAAACCAGAGCTTCCAGGAGTGTTTTCACCGCTGTTTCTCAACTGAGGCAGCTGAGCTGGGGAAGCAGGCACCCACCTGGCAGAAGATTTGGACTCAGACAATTTAGGCTGTGACAAAACCAAAGGCAAGCAGTGCAGGGGTCTACCCGAGCCCCTGCCCCTCTCCGCTCAGGGAGATCTTCTGAGCACAGAGGCAATTTGCTAAAAGGAAACAAAACCACAGAACGGAAATAAACAAAACCAAGGTAGATGATGGCAAAGCACACAGCAGAGAGGAGCGTGTGGCAGGCAGCGTAGCCGGGCACATCTGCACCACACATGACTGAGGGGCGTCCTGGAGGGGGTGACAAAATACGGCAAAGGCAAAAGTAAAAACACAAGCAGATCATAAACAGTAACGAATGTCTGTGAAGATGCAGACAGGAAAGAAACTGCAAGGCATTCGGTTCGGTTAGTTTCTTCCTGCCAGAGACGCCTGCAGCTGACTCCCGGCAGCAGACGGTGAGGGCTGCCCAAGGCCACATCCCAGGGGCAGTGCGGCTGTGGTCAGAGCCCAGCTCCACCTTTCACACTGGGCACCTGCCACTCCGTCCTGCACATGTGGACGAGGGAGCCGCAGCTCCGGCCCCGCCTTCCTACCCGTGACGTTTCCAGCTTATGCTACTGAGGACCAACTTCAGGTCTACACCACACTGCTAATGTGAGTCAGACTTTCCAGGAGGGGCCTTACATGTCCACTGCCACCACCCTGGAATTCATCCTGGGGGTTTTAATGCCCAGCTCCCTGCCATCGAGCAGCATGGGACGCCACGTGCCCATAAAGTCGAGAGCAACCAGGTGGAGCGAGGACACCGGCTTGGAACACCCTCCTGTCTCCAACTGTGCACACCTGTCACATGCCACCAAGGACGCCTGCCTCCCTCCCTCACAGCCACCGGCCAGGAGCTCCCTGCGCTGTCTATACTCCTTCCTCTGCCCCAAGCCCGGGCCCACGCTTGTGTGTTCCACCTGCACTCAGAAGACACTCGGCCCACTTCCTCCCGGAAAGGAGCTGGCGTCTCCACTCTCGGGAGCTGTGTTCTGGCTGCTGCCACCTCTCCCACCAAGGCCTTGCACACTGAAACTCACGGCACCAAAGCCATCCCACCAAAGCCATGTGCTCTGTGGGCATCTAACTTCAGCTACTGCAGGTCCCCTGCTAGAAACACCTTGCCCACAAAGCCCAAGTCGGCCCCGACAGCCACCCCTTGAAGAGCAACACTGTCTTCACTGAATGCTGGGTTATGAGTGCCAGTGGGCACGGGCTGGCAGGTGACCGTTGTGTCCCTGGCCAAGCAGAGGGCACTGCCCAGCAAAGAGCTATGGTGAAGGGGAGAGAATGGTTCAGAAAGCCTGAGGGTACCGACAGGAGCAGGGACGGCGACTGAGGCGGGCAATGACACGTACCCCGGCCCACAGGCAAGGCCTCAGCATTGCAGCACTGGTCCACCAGCTGGTGGCAGTGCTCGGTCAGGGACTCCAGCTGGGCCTTGTCACAGGACACACCCAGGAATCTGGCCAGCTGCTCCACCATGGTCACCAGGTCCTGGAAGACAAGGGCAGACAGCAGAGCAGCAATCAGAGGCCAGGACTGTAGGTGCTGCCTCACAGCCTGCTGGCCCTGCTGCCCCGGGGAGACACAAAGCCCTGAACCACCGAAGGGCCCTCATCTAACAAGTATGGATCTGGGATGCAAACCTGCGAAGCAGAGAGCTCTGGAGAATCCTGTGGTTAATTTTAAACAGCATCAAGAAATAGAAATGTCCCTCAGCAGTAGTATCTAGCTGGCTTCCTTCCCACTACCCCGGGCAGCTGTAATCCAGACTGGCCAGGGAGAGCAAGGAGCCCAACCTGCCTCGCTCACAGGAATCAAGAGCCTGCTGCCCCTGCTCACCCTGAGCACTCACTCAGCCATTCCCAAACACCGTAGGTTCCCCGGAAGTTGTTTCCTCTCTTGAAGGTGTAGAGAGCAAGTGAGCAGACAAAGCCTCTGAACAGGCCCATGGCAAAGAACCTGTTTCACTAACGCAGCACTCCCCAAACCTTAAAGGAAGGCTGGAAGGAGGGCCCACTCCGCCCTGGTTTCTCACAGGACCGATGAGGCAGGGAGAATCCTGGGCTCCTACTGCCAGCCCAGGACAGCCGGGCAGGGTCACTGTGCAGATGCTAGACCACGAGCAGAGGAGCAGCCCGGGCCCCAGCGCCAGCACAGCAGAGGGCACCAAAGCTGGTCCTGCGTGAGCACCGGAAGGAGGGGCCACAGCCGAGACAGCACGAGATCTCCCAGGACAGCTCAATGTCCAGGTGAAGGCCTCAGAGGAGGTGGCGCGAACTTCTCCGGAAGCTGTGTCCTGCTAGGCTGGGAACAGGATGGCCTACCCGTTCTGGCCGCCTTCACCGCTGCCCTGGGCCTCTCCCTGGTAACCTATGCTTGGGACAGCAGCACCCAGCTCGATGTGGCTGCAGCAAGAGGCCCTCAATGTCACAGGGCCAGTAAGTCAGGTCAGGTCCCAGCCCCGCTGGCCACCTGGTCACCGCCTCGTGGCTACGAAAAGAAGGGTGAAGGGTGAAGTGGGCAGTGTCCTGGGCACGTGGACAGCCCACCAAGATCAGGAGGCAGGGAAGCAGTGAAGGGAGAAGCAGGGCGGGTGAGGAGCGCCCCAGGCACAGGCGAGTGCCCCAGCCCTAAGGGTCACCATGGCCACCTACGCAAGGTAGGGCCCGGCCCTGCAAAACCTGGACAGGCCAGTATGCACCCAGGGCTGTTCTCCTAGAGCAAGAGGTAAACAGTGTTAGCTCAACAACTGTAACGCAGCCCTTCGCGGCCACTACAGACATCCCAGGCCATGACAGCGGCTTCAAAGGAAAGAAGAAACGAGAGCCGGGACTGGTGGGGTCTGGCCGAGGCTTGTGCCCAGTGAGCTGCACGTGGTGGGGTCAGGAGATGGGGACCCTAAGAGGTGAGTGCGAGGAAAGGGCTGGGCCTGAGGGCAGAGCAACCAGACTTAGAAAACAGAAACCGTGTGGAGAAGCACGATTCAGGACACCCTCCCTGAGCAAACCTGAGGGTGGAGTCAGCTGCCCTGGACTGAGGGGCAGAGGGGTCCCGAGGGACGAGGTGCAGAGCCTGGCTTGGACGGGGCCCCTGGGCAGGACAGATGCAGCGACCCAACCTCAGAGAGAACAAAACCCAGGGCACTGAGCGCAGAAATGCTGAGGGCTGAGGCTGAGGCCCGAGCAGCCTAGAACTCGTCAAGGGGAAGAGGAACCAGGGAGAGCAGGGAACTGGGAGAGGGAGGCATTGTGGCACCAGGCCCATCATGTGCCACCAGAAGGTTAGGAGACCAGATACCAGCCATGCTGTTGACCTGAGCGATGTGGAGGTCACTGGGGAGCATGCAGGGCAGCTGGGCAGGGGTGGGACAGGAGAGGGTGGGGAGGGCGGAAGAGGAAGGGGAGGCAGCAGAGGAAGTTGCAATGACGAAGTGACAAGGAAAGATGCAGACAGGAGGATCCGAAAGGCCCTGTCTGTTTTTGTTTTCAGTACCAGGAATTGAACTCAGGACCTCACGCTTGCAAAGCAGACACAGTGCCACTGAGCTAACTGCCCGGCCTTGCAAGGCCCTGTTTTAAGGGAAGGCAGCATGTTCCTCCCTGGTGCAGCCTGGTCCCGCCGAGAAGGCGTGGCTGTCCAGCACTGGGAGCTCACACGATGCCCCACGGTGCCTGTAGTGCCCAGGGCGCCATGCTGACTCTGCTCAGGATGACGGTGGCAGCGCATCGTGTCCCCTTTGCATAGCAAGCCCTGGGGCCCCGAGAGGCCTGCTCAGCATCTCTGTGCCCACCCAGCCTGACCGCACGGGGAGGACCTGTGTCCCGCAAGCTCAGCTGGACATTCCCAGCATCAGGAGGCGTCACAGGACAATCATGGCGGGGAATCTGCCCTCAAAGACCAACGACAGCAGTTGAGCACAGGGGCTGAGTGCGAGGGCCCGGAAATGGCCGTCCCAGCATGCTCTCTGCCAGTGGCTTCACTTCTGCCAAGGCAAGAGCACACACTCGTCTTTCCCAAGCCCGGAACAGCCGCCCCACTGCACCCACACTCACCCGGTGCATGTCTTCGTACTTGAGGAAGAGCACGTTGGCGTCCATGCGGTGTTCCCAGAACTCCTGAACATGCTCAAACCAGGAGCCATAGCCCACTGTGGAGACAGGGAACGGTGAGAGAGCAACAGAGGGGACACCCAGGTACCAAGAGCGCACCCTCTGCCCAGGGACCGCCTCCTGCAGCAGGAAGGGAGGGGAGAGGACAGCCTGGTGCAGATGAAGGAAGAGAAGGCACCCAGCTGGGCCATCACCAGTGGACGATCCCACCCCAGGCCCCTGGTCGCTCATGCTACAAGCATGCATCTCCTGCCAACGGCCCTCATCCTGCCTGTGCCTGACCAGGGGGTGAAGTGTCTAAGGCGTGGTACTCACAGTGCTGGGAGGGGATCTCGACAGTACCCAGCAAGGGGCACAGCACGAAGAGAATGATGCCCAGAGGAGGGTGGGGGTAGGATGGGTGCAAGAGGCTCACCACACCAGCAGGGTGCCAGGGGAGCCAGTCAGGGCCATGAGAAGAGTAGGCCTGACTGCATACAGGGCACCAGCTATGGAGACCAGAGCTTCGGGTCCTCTGGCCTGGCACATGTGCAGAAGGTGGGGACAGATGGAGCCTTCAAATCCCTGCCACACCCCCACTGCTCTGCAGGCACCTCGCTCTCCAGCCTGTGGGAAGGCACCGTTCACCACAGACTCTGCTGGGAAGAGGCCAGCCTGGGGAGCACGTCCCCAGCACCGCACAGGTCACAGAGACCCTGTCCAGAGGACTCCCACTCTGCACGTCACGTGCCCGGGTGTCTGAGGCCCTCATCCCTGAAGGCTCAGGCTCCAACATCCTCCCGTGGGTCTCTTGCCTCCACACTCTGCTTGGCCTCTGCCCCCAGTAGGGTGCCGCGTCATTTCGATGCTCTCTGTGTTAGTTCCTGGGCTCTCAGGACCTCAGGCTAGAGGATGGGCCTCTGTGGCTCTGGGTCTGTGCACAACTTGAGTCCCTAGGCTGGACAGGGGTGGAGCACGCGGACACAGAACAGGCCTCTGGTGGGATGCAGGCCAGTGTGTGTGGCCTTGAATCAGCGCAGGCAGGGCGCCGTGACACTGGCGTGGGGAGGCCTGGAGCTTCAAGAGAGCTATTTAGGCCATTCCGGCTGAGGCAGGGCAGTGTGAGCATGGCCGGTGGCTGCCCTCTCTGTGGTGCTGCCCCTACCATTCTGTAGACAAAGGGAACTAAGGCAAGGGCAGGGGACCAGAAGGCTGCACAGAGTGCCCGTGGTACGCTGGGGGCCTCTGGGGCAGGTGCTCTAGTGCCCCATCCCCTGTTGGGCAAGCTTCTCCCATCAGGCCGAACAAAGTCTGGATGAGAGGTCTCAGGACAGACTTGGACTCCAGGCTCTTGGGGGCTGCACAGACCCGGGTGGCAGCCCCAGGTTCATCAAAAGCGTCATCCTGACCTTGTCACCCACTTCCTGCAGAGCCCCGAGAAGCCACCGTGAGCAAACATGTGAACGTCACTTCAGCTGGGAATAAACCAGGCCTTTGCAGATCAGGTCCAGAACCATCTCGGTGTAGACTTAATTCCAGCACAGATGGGACCCATTTCCAAGCTTCTGGTTGCAACTCTGAGCTGCCCACTTGCTGGCCCGCCCAGTTTACCCAAAGCAGCCACAGATGGCGTGGGAATGGTGGGGTGGTGGGACTAGGCCACAGCCCACACTCCGGGGCACAGGTGGCTGGGCAGGGTGCAGAGACACAGTCCTGGGGGAGACAGGGCTGCTCCTCCCTGTCCTGACGTCCCCACCTCTTCGCGACCACACCTCACACCACCTGAGCAGACACCACAAGCATATGGCACTCTTGCTACCCTACTCCTTGCACTGGGTACAGCCCCCAGTGTGTCCCACACTGTCCCAGAAGCCAGCAGGAAAGGGGTGCTTAGCTGGGAAGCTCTCAGGGTCCAGTGGAGGGAGAAGGTTATTAGAGCTCCAAGGCCCAGCAGCCCACCCCTGCATCCTCCTCTGCAAAGCAGGATGTTCACATGGTCACCACGAGCCTCAGGATGTGCAGAGGAACGGCCCAGCACAGGCCAGGCCCCAGGAACAGCTCAGCCTGGAGAACACTTACGCTTGTCATTCATAAACCTCCGGCAGAATTCCTGGAATGTGCCTCGGTAGCTCATGGTCCGCAGCGAGCGGTGGAACTGATAGTAGGACACCACCAGGTCCTTGGGGTTGCGAGCCATGTAGATGACCTGTGGGCAGAGGAGGTTGAAGGACGCCCTCCTACCTGTCCTTCCACCTGGGCAGGGTCGGCCGAGAGCATCTCTCGGGTCGTTCCAGTATCCAGTGGCACTACTGTCTTCTAGAATTACTTTAACATAGAGGACAGAGATCAGGCTGCGACACCAGTGACAAGGCCACAGGCCGCAGGAAGGAGCCACCCTCGAGGGAATGAGCCCATCGGGAGCACAGGACACAGGGAGCACCTGCCTTTGGGTCACGCCGGGGCCGCACCGTCAGAGATCCCGTTAACACAAGGTGACATCCTGGGCCCGTGACACAGAAGTGCTCCAGGAGGGCGGCAGCCCAGGCAAGTGACGGAGAGAAGGGCATGGGTTACCTTGGAGTCGCCGTTGTGGAGGTCGGAGGGCAGGAAGCGGTAGGGGAGGTGGCTCTTGATGAGGCGGGGAGACGTCAGTTCCTGCAGACAGAGGGGTGGCTCTGAGGGGGAGTCATCCCACCTCTTCCCAGGGCCTCTCCAGCAGGCCCTGCCCATCACTGACTTTTCACCCAAGGTGTGGCCCGCACCCAGGCTGGATCCTGGAGGGAGAGACGAGGGCCCCTTCCTCAGCTAGAGGATTCAACCTCTCCTGGCCACAGGAAGCTTGTTCAAGACCAGACTGCTGCTGACTGGACCTAGAGTGGCCAGAAATGGCCATGTAGGAAGACCTGATACCTGATAGCAGCAGAGGAACCCTGGTGCACGCCCAGAGCATCGCCTGCAAGATGGCCAGCATCTCCAGCCCACGCGTGCGCTCCTTCCACACTGCCCCCAAACCCTCCCTATGCCGCAGCCAGGGTGATCCTGCAAAGGGTCTCTGCTCCCGGCCCCTCCACGGCTCCCCGTCACCATGGGAACAAGCCCAGCCCTCCCCACACTCAGAGAGACTTCTGCAGTCCCCAGCGGCCCCCCAGGGACAGGCCAGGCTGCACAATTTCCCATCCTCCCTGCGGCTGGGCCGCGCAGGGCTCACACACGGGCACTCAGTGTAGCCACACTACCCACCCCACGAGCGGCCCTCACAGGGCATAGCGGTGAGGGCAGTGAGGTGCACCTGAGAGGTGGGGTGCAGGGACCAGCTCACTCAGAGCCACAGATGGGAGGCAGGATGGGAGTTCAGAGCTGCACTGCATCCAGCAAATCAGTTAGAGCTGGCGTTAGGGCTGCGGGGCAGGCGAGGTGGGGGTGGGGTGGAGAAAAGTCCGGCTCCATCGGAGGGACAGCATGCAGAGGGCTTGGGGAGAGGGCTTGTCCTCCCCACAGATGGGAGCAAGTTACGCACCTGAAGCCCTTCCTAGCTCTGTGCTGCTCCCAAACAAAGGCCCAGGCACCTCACGTGAGGCTTCTGAGTCCCCCCTGGCCAGAGGTCACCCACACCCCGACCAGAGTTGGGGGGTCACAGCCCTGTCAGTGTCGCTCCTACTGTCTGGGCTCCCCTCGTCCTGTACCCACAGAGCCCTGAACCCCTTCAGAAGGTACAACGCCAGGGGCCGGGCCGCTGCCCGCAGTACCTTGATGATGTCCAGGCCCGGCTGCGGGTACTCCAGCACCGGGAGCTGCTCGTCGATGTTCATCAGGCCGATCTCGTCGGGGTCGGCGCCCTGGCTCACCAGGTACACCACCTCCTGCAGCAGGCTGGTGCCTGGGGAGAGAGGCTGGGCTCAGAGGCAGCGGCCCGGCCCCGCAGCCGAGACAGCAAAGGACAAGGGCTGGCCACAGCCCAGGCCCCAAGCCACACAAGGCAGAGAGGCCTCTCACTCGAGGGGTCCGGCTGCTGGAGGGCTGCAGAATCTTACAAAGGGGCGACACAGTAAGCACCGGTCCCTGCTGGATGTGGGGTCCATTCTCTGGGAAGAACGCATGTTTCAGGCCTGGCTCCCCTGGTTCCCAACCTGAAATCCTTCCCAGCTTTCCACTGTCCACAAATAAAGACCCAATTACCCCACACAAGGCCTCTGAGATTCCCACCCTGGCTTCTGCTTGCCCACACCCCCAACCTCAGGCATCTCCGCCACATTTTTTTCTGCAGCAGGCTGGGGCCTGGGGAGAGAGGCTGGGCTCAGAGGCAGCGGCCCGGCCCCGCAGCCGAGACAGCAAAGGACAAGGGCTGGCCACAGCCCAGGCCCCAAGCCACACAAGGCAGAGAGGCCTCTCACTCGAGGGGTCCGGCTGCTGGAGGGCTGCAGAATCTTACAAAGGGGCGACACAGTAAGCACCGGTCCCTGCTGGATGTGGGGTCCATTCTCTGGGAAGAACGCATGTTTCAGGCCTGGCTCCCCTGGTTCCCAACCTGAAATCCTTCCCAGCTTTCCACTGTCCACAAATAAAGACCCAATTACCCCACACAAGGCCTCTGAGATTCCCACCCTGGCTTCTGCTTGCCCACACCCCCAACCTCAGGCATCTCCGCCACAAGCCTGCCTTCCCTGAAGCCCAAGCCCCAGGGTCACGCCCCACCTCCCCAGGGTCTGCGTCTGCACACGGCCGTGCGCCTGGTCCTCTGTGCTGAGCCCTGAGCTCACCCACCAAGCTGCGCAGCCACCCCATCGGACAGACTGAGCATCCTAGCTCTGCCAGGAGCAGGAAGAGGTAGAGCCCAGTCTGGACCATGCAGGGGCAACCATGCCCCACCAAGGCCACCCTGGGCACAGTGGCCATTCGCACCCCCACAGGCAGGTGGGAGTTGGTGGACACTGAGGGGCCTGCCAAGGACAAATGCCACACTGTGTGTCTCCCAACATGTCCCAGGCCCCATGAACATGCTCAGGGCCACACACAGCCCCACTCGGGCAGATCCTGGTCCCCAGGCTCCCCCCGTCATCACATCCTCCTGTGAACTCGGGGAGGCAGCACGGCTGAGCACCGTCACCTCCCTGGTGGCCCCTCCTTGCTAGCAGCCCAGAGGGCGGTCCTAGGCGTCCTCCCTAGGTGGCCTCATCCAGCCCATCCTGCAGCCGCATCCCGGAAGACACTGCAGCCAGAGTCTGCTCCATAGCCGCACAGCCCTCCATTCCCAGCCTCCAGCCGCGCAGGTGCACACCCTCCTCACTTCTTCATGGGCGGAATGCAGCAAGGCTGATGACCCCACCATCAGGGGCTGCTGAACAGACCCTCCTACCCTGTCCCCTTGCACCTGAACCACTTCCCAGGAGGGGAACACGGCGCCACTGCCCGTGGTTCAGACACAGAAGTCAGGTCACGATGCTGTCCACAAAAAGTCCTCCCATGGCCCTGCACCCTGGACCTGTCAGCTGAGTCCAGTGTCCCTTCCTGCCTGCTGGCCGGTGGCACTCGCTGGTCCCCTGCTGGAGTCTGTCCCTCCCTCCCTCCCGTCAAATGTCACTTAGCAGCAAGAGCCCTGCTGACCACACTGTGCTGTCCCCACTGTGCCAACAGCCCAGGAACAGCAGATGCTCTGTGCCCCCACTGTCCCCACAAGGACAAGGGCCCGGATGCAGCAGGACATCACTGCTCGGTGCACAATCTCCTGTCCTGAGCAGCACCCAGGAACCCAGGATGCAGCGGCCAAGGTGATATCTGACATCTGGAGCACAAGCCCTGCAGTGAGGAAGCACTGCCTCGGTGGAAGACGGCAGCTTTTCTTCTGGATCCAGCAGAGGAGCCTTGCTCCGGGCTGCAGGACTCTCCTCATCCCATGAGCTGGGCACCAACGTCTGTTTACCTCGAGGCTCCTGAGCCTCTGCTGTGCCCAAGGTCACAGAACCGGGGCGTGGCGGGCAGATGCCCCTCCTGATGAGCCGAGGCCAGCCACACTTGGGTGAGTGCCAGAATGCAGACAGAGTCCCCCAAATGGGTCTGCCGGTGACATCGTCATCCTCTATTTCCGGTGGTCCCCACCCCAACCTGTACCACCGACAGCCCGACAGGCCAACGGCCCAGACAAACTTCTCCGCACGCTGATGTCTCCTTTATAAATTTCATCCACTTCCACCCCACGATTCCTCCATTAACTATCACGCCAGAAGACAGAGGCCTGGTGGGAGCCCAGAGGAGGCGCTCTCTGCCCTGCAGGCCTGCACCCCTCCCCAGAGGCCCTCTCTCCGGTACCCACTAGGCCTTTGCTGCCTAAGCACCTCTGCATCCCACCTTCTCCAGCTGCCACCCCAAGTGGACAGAGGCCAAAGAGGGCACCAGGTAGGGAGAGCAGGGGATCGGGGGACAGGGCTGGAACAGGCGCTGGCCTCCCCAGGGCGTAGAGTCAGCTGGCTAGACCTGGCCAAATGATCCAAGATGATGAAGTAGAGACAACATGGTAAGTTCTAGGCCCCCTGAACTGGAGACTCAACGCAGGTTCGGAGCCAGCCAGCCAGCCTGGGCTCTGCCAGGGCTTCCACTACACGCCTACAGGGGGGTCTTCCTCTCTACTCCCACGACCTGTCCACTGCCCAGCTAGCGGCCCTGGACACCGCACGGGACTGCCCAATCCTTCTACCACTCCTGGGGGCTGCCTGTGCCCAGCGATGGACCCTGCGGGGGCCCAACCTCTCCATGTCCCAGCTTTAGCAGCTCCCCTCCTGCCCGAGCCCACGGCCCACAGCCCTCAACATGCCTGGCCAACCTGGACTGGACCTCTGCAAAGCTGTTGCCGGCCCAGCCCTCCATAAGCTCTGAGCTTGTGGCTTGTACCCTTCATTCCCCCCAACACACACACACCTGTCATTGGGATTGAACCAAGGGCCTCTGCACTGAGCTACATCACCTGTATTTTACATTTTTATTCTGAGACAGGGTCTCAATTGCCCAGGCTAGGCTGGAACTTGTGTTGTCCTGCCTCAGCCTCCCAGAGTGTTGGGATCACAGCCCATACGATGCAGGGCTGAGCCTCAGCCTTGAAGGACCAGAGGCCAGAAGGCACCACGCCTTGGTGCCATCTCTTACTGCCAGGCTCTTGGAAGAAGGGAATCTTTTATGTAGCTCAAGTCCCTCAGTTCTGGAAATCCTGGTTCCACCCATTTTTCACTTCCATGCTCTCCATTCTTTTCCGGGACTCTAAGATCAGCCTTCTAATTTTCTTCTCTTTTTGCCTCTATTTGCCATCGTTTTGTAAAAACTTCTGTGTGATTTTTCAGGGTATTTCCTCAGTCCGATGTCCACACCTTCCCAGAGAGCAACTGAGTCCAGCCCTCTTCCACTCCACTCCTGAGGGTCTCAGGGCCCCTTCCCTCCTCCTGTGGATCCTTCTGCAAGGGTGCCAGTCTCCCCGGGGACGGGGCGGAGAGCTGAGGGGCAGGTGTGCTTCAGACTCTCCTCTAACCCTCCAACAGTCTGATTCCCAGGGGCCCCTCCCCTGCATCTGTCTGTGTCTGCAGGTCTCTGCCGCTCCCACCCCAGACCTCTCTACCTGCTGAGCCTGCCTAAGCTCTGGGTGAGTGTGGGAGGCTGGAGGCAGCACTGGGGGCCTGGGCAGCGGGACCTATCACCTCAGCTCCACATGGGCGCATCAAGTCCGGGTCTTTGATCTAGAGACGGCGACTCTGACCCCTTCTGTGGGCTGCAGCAGGGCACAGGCATCCACCCTCCAAGGGCGCAGCTGTCACAAAACTCCCACTCCCTTTACCTACATTTGGGACAGAAGCAGCTGAACTTCAGAGGCAGCGACCCAGCAGAGCTGGACAGATGGTGGGCTCCTGAGGACGCCGCCCACCTGGCACTCCAGCCCTCCCGGGGCACTGTGCACCCACCCCTGGGAAGACACAAGCACAGCTGCTGTCCTCCTCCTTGGTGCCCACAACCACACCAGCTTGCAGTTCTCAAGCAGTCCCTGGCAGCAGAAAAGGACAGGGCAGCTCCTGGTCACCCAGCTGGCTACTGGATGGGGAAAGCCCAGCGACAGCCCAGCTCACAGCACCCGACAGCCATGACAGCCATCCCACCACCACCCCACCAGGAAAATGCTTACCAAAGACAAGCCTAAGCCCGTAGATGACTTCCTGGGCTGGCCTCACAGCTGCTCCCCAGGTACTATCACCGTCTTGTCTTACCACCAGGAAGCAGGCTCAGAGGGACCCACCCAGGCCACAAAAGGTAGTGCTCAACGACCCAGCACCCAAAACCATGCCTGACTCCAGAATGGGAGCACTTCACACATGCACACGCACACACACACACACACACACACACACACACACACAGACCATGGGCACACGCACGCACACACGCGTATACCTGCACACCCAGGCATATACACAGCACACACGCAGAGGAAAGGCAAGAGCAAAAGCACGGTAAAGGGGACGCAGAGAGCCTTCACAGCCGCAGCAGACCTGCACAGTGCAACAGTCAGGGCACTTGAAGCCTGGCCAGTGGGAATCGCCCAGAACAAAACACGGAGAGGAAGACTGGAAAGACAGCAGAACGCCTGATGGCTGTGATAATCTCTGGCCATGCAGCGTACACGTACTAGAAGCTGCAAAAGAGAGGGAATGGAGCGGAAGAATGTTCGAAGAGCTCAAGGATGAAAATTTTTTCAAAGTGAGGAAAAGCATCAAACCACGAATCCCAGAAGCTCAGAGAATCCCAAGCAGGATAATTAACCAGAAAAAAAGTTCAAAGCATTGAAAATCAAAGGTACAGAGAAATCATTTGCCCGAGCTGGGGAGCAATCAGAGGACACCAATTCCGTCCTCTGTCTGGGCTCGCTCCTCTCCATCATCCACACATAATACTGGATACCAGGATGCCCTGGCGTCTGTTCCTCCCCTCCGGGCCTTCACTGCACACTGCGGAGAAGGAAGAGACCAGCAGGGCATGGGCTGTGCGAAGGACCCACGTGGTGGCCAGTGGCCAGTACTGGGCAGGTCACCCTCAGCCTGTGGTCCAGCTCCGGAGCGACCCCCACACACGTGCCGTCTTTCTGAGCACAGGCCGCCAGGCCAGGGTCCGTTGTTCACAACACTCCAGAAGCCCCTGCCTCATGCAGCACCAGACACAGAGAAAGCAGGGACCTCCGTACAGCTTGGAACCAACGCACTCGGTGGCCCCCTGTCCACTTCACTCCCCACTGACAAGTCTGACAAGTTAGGACTCCCATCAATCTTACTCCTGCTGAGCAAACCAGTTCAGAGACCAGGGCCCTGCTGAGTCCCACAGGATGGGAACAGATCCGGCCCACAGGCTCCAGCCCCGCAGGCTCTTGCCCCAGGACCTATGCATCAGCAACAGGAGAATGCACATGCACTTCCGCCCTGCCTGGACTGATAGGAAAAGGAAGCTAAGGAGGCGGTCAGTACTATGGCCAAGCAGGAGCCGACGAAGCTGAAGCTGACACGCCGTGACTCTGGGGCTCTGCCCTATCTGGGACCAGGAAACTGTCAGTGAGCCCACGGCCCTGCCTGCCACCAAAGAACAAGGTGCAACTCGACAACAAATCGGTGGCCAGACAGACTGTAAGGATGAATGATCACAGCCAGGTACGGTTGTGATACCTACAAACCGAGCACCCTGGGAGGCTGGCGCAGGGTTGTGAGTTTAAGTCCAGCCTGGGCAACTTAACAACTCGGCAAGGCCTTGTTTCAAAATAAAGAAAAAGCGTCGAGAATAGAGCTCGGTGTAAAGGCCCTGGGCTCAATCCTCACCAACGCACACAGAATGACCACGAACACAGATGGCGATGAGGAGAGCACAGAGGCCCCCCTCGGACACCACAGCTAAAACATCAAACTGCACTGCTGTCCCGCAGAACCCAGCACTGACGAACCCGTCCCACACCTGTTGTCCTGCAGTGTGCACACGTAGCCCAGGGGCATCTGGAACTCGGTGAGGGCTACTGCACAATGGAGTTTCTCCTCTTTTTACTTTAAATGGCCACCCACGGTCAAAGGCATCTGCGCAGCACCGCACGGTCCCAACCTGTCACCGGAGCTAAGACCTCAGAACATGCCACGTCCTGCCAGCGGTGCAGCGGTGGAAAGGCCTCCTTGGTACTTGCATCCAGTGGCCCCCACGATTTTCCAAAGGCAAAAAGCACCCATGGGGCAGGGCAGAGGCTGGCCCTGGTGCAGGGAACCTCTGTCCCTCCAAGACTGTGTGAC